GACAGGTGCCCCAAAAATGTTCTAGGTCTTTAAGGGTTAATTTTGCAGGCCATTATATGGTGATCAAAATTTTATGGACTGTAATGAAGGAGCAACTTGAGACATGAGTCTGAGACAGAGGTGAGATCAACTGAACAACAGGTAACTAGACTGCTGACCACTCAACCACATCGCAATGTGCTTAATTTTTTTTTAGAAAATCTTAGCAAATATATAGCAACACCCTGCCGGTGCCAACAACACTCTAGTGCAATGTCTTTAAAACAACTCCGAACATCTCCGCAACACCAGACACTTCATTTGACGGTAGAGGTGACATTACATTAGTGGTCGACCGATATGGGTTTTTTGACAGCCGATACCGATGCTGATATCTTGGAAAGCAGGGTGGGCGATGGCCGATATAAAGCCGATATAATTTTTTTTATTCATATTTAAGAAATTTAAAATCATTTGAAAATGGATTAAAAAATAAGTGTAAAATAAACATACTTTTACTCTAGAAGACAAAGTATTTTTCACAAATAAATAAATATTTAATAAAAATATAATTAAAAAGGAAGTAAACACTGTAACCAACAGGGCACGCAGTATTCTTGGAAGTTTGTGTGCATTGGGAATCATATTTTTTCAAATAAAGCCAAGGTAACACTCATTTTACATACAGCACACAGTGAAAATGACATGAATATGACAGTGGGCAAATGCATAAAGCGCAGCATAATTTGAAATCAGTCACGAGTTTAAAGTTTGTCGATCGAATACACAAAATAATGTTCTTTTTAGCAACATCATATGACCCCTTTAATAATATTAAAGCAATCGTTATAATACTTTTTTGTATAAATTTTAATTCCTTTGTTTAACAGTTCTATCTGATTATTAGATAGACTTCTATCCGTATTAGACAGAACTGAATGACAACAGCGAACAAGAGGGAGAATGTGAGCACTGTGTGCTCAGGCCGTTCTCAGCGCCATCAAAATAAAAGTCCGACGCGGCATCAAAATAAAAGTCCCGCCTCGAACACAAACAGCAAAACTTATCGGCCGATGCCGATATTTGAAAAATGGCAGATATCGGCCAATATATCAGCCTTGGCGATATATCGGTCGACAACTACATTACATTAAGGTGATGAATCTGCAGCACAGTTACCTATTGCTGCTTTCTCATTTACCCTCAAACGCTTGTATCCTGAGAGGAAGTTTAAACTGAAGTGTTTCTTTATAGAACACACAAAGGATGTGTAAACTAGCTTGAGGAATAGAGAAGAAAGTTAATAGCGTCTCCAGTGAGCGAACACAACAGATGCTACACACATGCTGGACAGACAACACAACACCTCAGCAGCGCCATTCAAGCCCAAACCACACAGATCATCTATCTCATTGACTGCTTGTGCGCAGGACTTTAAATTGGTCGGTGTTACATATTCCCCACAGCTGGGAACCCACACCTTATTTGATAGGATAAAACCAATGTTTTGTCAAGCGCATGTGTAGCTCCAGCTGAGAAAGTTATGTCTGTGAAATAATCTGTCGAAGCACATTTTTAGCTGTTGTTTCACTGTTTCCTGTAGAACCATTTGTAGACACTCCTGTGCCATTGTTTTGCAATAATTTCATTTCATGGTGGTCTACTATTGTGGTGTCATCCTTTTCAGAAAAATCTGCCCACGGGCCAGTTATATAAACTTAACCTCTACATTAAGTCTATTTCTGAGCTAAACAACTAGCAGTTTGCCACGGGCTAATCAGTCTTATATTCAGGATTCAAGTTGGACAAATCTACATCTTCATGTAACCAGTCTTAAAGAAAAAAATAACTGAGGTCAAACTTGAAAAGACTATTTTAAGTATTTTATGCAACTGGACGAAAAAAATAATAACCAAAAAAACAAACAAAAAAAACATTTATTCATGTTAAGTTGTGAGTAACTAATCACCTCACAGAAGCACTAGTCAACATGGCTGTCTATTTTTTTTAGCCATCTATAGTAGATTAGGCACAAAAACTTAGGATATGGCACGCAATTACAGACAAAATATGGAATTGCATTTAAATGTGCAGTTTCTGAGCTAACTAGCAGTTTGCCACGGGCTAATCAGTCTTATATTCAGGATTCAAGTTGGACAAATCTACATCTTCATGTAACCAGTCTTAAAGAAAAAAATAACTGAGGACAAACTTGAAAAGACTATTTTAAGTATTTTATGCAACTGGACGAAAAAAAATAATAACCAAAAAAACAAACAAAAAAAACATTTATTCATGTTAAGTTGTGAGTAACTAATCACCTCACAGAAGCACTAGTCAACATGGCTGTCTATTTTTTTTAGCCATCTATAGTAGATTAGGCACAAAAACTTAGGATATGGCACGCAATTACAGACAAAATATGGAATTGCATTTAAATGTGCAGTATATGTAATATTCACAGCTAGTGGTTGAAATGGATACTGCTGTTCAAATTCCAAATATTGGAGAGAGTTTTCTCTCCCGCCCCCTCCTCGTCAGACTTAACGCTTACACGGGTTGATAGATTGAGGACACACAACAGGAATGAGTGCAATCGACAATGGAAGGCGACAAGCCACACACTGAAAATATGTCAATATGGCACCGGTACCTATGTATCCGGTATGTAACTGAAACAGAACACAGTGCCTCATTACGGTGTCACCTAAATGCCTGAGTGATCGATTGAAATATTTGTCCTCTGGTTCTCTGAAACCACCACCGCATATGAAGAATAATTTCCCGACTGAGAAAATGCAAGTGAACGCAAGTCGAAAAGCTCTAATAATGCAAATCCAATCTTTGTAGTAATGTGAGTGTCCATGTTGTTTTCATATTCTGACTTAAAAGCACAACTTGGGAAATGAGACCATCCGAGGATCACGTGAATGCAACAATTACACTTGCTCTGATGGCAACAGGTACCGTTAGCTAGCTCAGCTAAACACAATTAAGTTAAAATGCCTAAAGCTAAACTTCCCTTGTAATGACTTGCAATGAGAAGCATTTCTAAACCTGTTGTCCAGCAAAAGAGAACATTATAACAGTGGCCGGGAACCTATGGCTCGAGAGCCACACCTGGCTCTTTGACAAAAATCATGTGGCTCGCCAGATCTCTCACCCTTTACCAACAAATGAACTATTACAAAAATTATACACCACTAGAGATCAGCAATTCATTTGTTGTAGAGCCTACATAAGCTGATAAAAGGTTTAAAAAAATAATTTTTTTGTACCGGCCAAAGTGCGTGTTCAGTGCGCATTCAGTGCTGTTCGCGAGAGTCACAACAGCAAACCACTGATGTTTCTATGGTAACTAGAGCTCCTGCACTCAGATTCAAGCTGATAACTTACGTAGCTTGTTTGTAGTATATATATATATATATACAGTGGGTACGGAAAGTATTCAGACCCCCTTAAATTTTTCACTATATATATAGTTCACTTTGGCTCTTTTGGAAAAATGCATTAACCAAAAATAAAAAAATTGGCTCTTCGGTCAAAAAAAGGTTCCCGACCCCTGCTTATAACATGTTTTTACTCCACAACATCAGTCAAATAACTTCCTTTTGTGATCTGATGAGGGCTGCATATCACAAAATGAGGCAGAACATTTTCTATACTGTAATGTCGATTAGCAATGATTATATACTTAATTAGTATGAAAATACCAGAGATGGCTTGAATAACACAATTATACATTGTCACAGTCGAGTGTTTATTGTCTTTGTTTTATCATTCAAAACGTTTATATCATCTGTTTATTCAGTTACAGCGATAGGAATGCCTTTGTCCATATTAGGGGTTTTCCTGGAGCATCATGAGTTCTGTTACTTCTGTGATGCATATGTGGAGTTTCTGCACGAGGGCGCCCTCAGGCTTCCAGTATGAATGAAACAGACATTAAAGCTGCAGTCCGTAAGTTTTGCCTCTTTGTCGCCATCTGTTTGAAACCTGCAATTGCATTTATTTGTGGAATTATTTTCTTAACGCACCGTGCACGGCTCCAGCGCGGATTAATCTAATGTTTTGAGGAGTATGTGTGGGCTGGCTGTCAGTCACTACACCGGTGTGCATACTGTGCTTCGGAATCACAGATTCTAGCCTAAGTCTTGGAAGTATGGCCCAAATAAGAACTTTCACCGGATATTGTCATCTGAATGAGTAAGTAACAAGTCTGCCACTTTTGTTCTGACCAAGTGAGGAAAAAAGCATTACAATAAATCTCGTAAAACTTGTGTAATCAAACGTAGGCTATCAGATGCACATTTAAAATTGGAATATAATCTAATTTCAGTCACTTGTGTTTTATAAACACAAACCATTTTTGGATTACAATTCGCTATCAAAATAAGTTTAATTATTTAATAAGTTTAATTATTCCAGCTGCTGGGAGAAAAGGCTATAAATGATCTGCCACCTGCAGTATCCACACACACGTGATAGCCTACTTGCCGGGACAACTTCATGTTTGCAGACGTGACGTAATGACACAGCGGCATACTCGCATTTTCTGTAAATTCCTACCAGTACCACTCGAATTAGAAAACATTATTATAAGCTTACCATCGTGAATCAGGCTAAGTTAAGGACTCGGGCTAAGGTGAGTCCTAATAATTTTGGGTAATTTTTTTTTTTAAGTATAGGTCCAGGCACCGTTAAGGCACCAGTACTATTTTAAAAGTATAGATTCGGCACCAGTATCGTAAAAAAAAACAAAAAACAAAGTTACCCAACCCTAACTATATGTGACATATGCACAGGCTTTCTTCTGTATGCTCTATGTTAAGCCTTAAAGGTGAAGTGTGTAGTTTCTGCACTCCTATATGTAGCAAGGGGAAGTGTTAGTTAAATTCTAGCAATTCTGAGGGATATCACTGGTGTGCTGAAACTACACACTTTACATCTCTGGTGGGCGGGTCAAAAAAGGCAAGAGGGAAAACAGCAGGGGTGATTCAAACATGAGATGCGTCACTCACTTCCTGTGAAGGCGATCCATCTTGCGTATTTTGTGGCTTCTCGACGCCAGTGCGAGGCCACCAGCAGGCCGCAGGTGACAGTGAGGGAGATGATGCCCATGATGATAAAGAAGAGCGTGGTGACCCACTCTGGAGGGAGTCGCGGGGGGATGCAGGTTCGATCTCGTCCATGAATGGTCTGACACTGACGCACCAGCCCCACAGTAAGAGCTCCTGGAATCAAATACAACAACATCAATGACGTGTGAGTCATATTCAACCCACAAAACCTGAAGGGTGTTTTGCAGGATCTGCTCTTTATCAGAAATGAAGTCCTGGGTGTTTAGTTATGGACTAAACTATAACATGGCACACCAGAGACAAACAAAAACAACAGCCGTGGAGTATAAAGTTCAGAGCTTGTTTTCTGCAGGAAAACACACTGCACCTGTCAGGCGCAGAGTCCCTGAGGCTCTGTATGCACCGCTGTACGATCAGGTAAGTAAAAAGCATTTTCAAGAATGACATTTACAATGCTGAATGCACATTGTTGTCTGGGCCAGGTACTGATATGAACAAAACAATATCATACCACCGCACCATTAGAATTTTGGTACCACAGTAGTTTAAGTGCCAGTTAACTACGGTGCCTTACTTTACACTCGAGTTCAGTCTTCACAGCCAGCTAAATCCTTATAGCAGCTTTACAGTCACACACGGCCACCCAAACAGATTAACTAGAGATTACCATACACAAGGTTTAATGTGTTAGTACTAGAAGTTGCACTAAAAATAATGATTATGCAACTCAATTTCTGCCATGGTTAATTTTTATGTCATATTTGTGGTAAATTTTTATGTCGTGTTTGTGTTCTTTCCTACCTGTATTTATGCATGCCATTCAATATTTATGCACGTAATTCAATTTGTGTATCTAGATATTGCCAATATTAATATTTTCAATAATTAGAAGTGACAATTCACTGCCAAAGATTGTTCTACCAGCGAGTAACCTGCTAAAGGCGAAGTCCCAAAAACAACGGTGGCTGGGTTTTGTTGGATCAGTAGGTTATCCCTGATGGCATCTGTTTTCACAGGCTCTTGTCAATGGACTCTTTTTACATTTTTGGGGTTCTCAGAAGTGGAAGGTGCCATTGATGGGTTAAACTTGTTGAATGGGAGACAACAGCAAATATGATTTTTGCATTCCTATTTGCTCCAAAATCAAATGACTTTCCAAAAGATGAAGACGAAGAACAAAAAGAAAAACTATAGAAGGACTGATTACAGAGTAAGAAGAAAGCAAGCTTCCATTGGCGTTTGTAGTGTGGTGATGAGTTAAGCTTAACTGTCAACTCCATAGAAACAAAGGTGTGCAAAGGCACTCGTGGCCTAATGGATAGAGAGTCGGACTTGTAACCCGAAGGTCACGGGTTCGAATCTCAGGTCTGGCAGGAATTGTAGGTGGGGGGAGTGAATAACCAGCGCTCTCTCCACCTTCAATACCATTTCAAATGCAACTGCATTGGTGGAGCAGAAATAACAGGGTTGTGAATTGCGATTTGTAACATGCTGGGTAGTAAGGACCTACCTCTTTACACAAGACAGGCAGACTTGAGCAGCATATTTTATATTTCTAAGATGGCATCAAACAGAAAAAAAGTATCTTTCCCAAGCCTTCATAGACAAAATCTTGAATGTGTGTGATATCTTTGGCACTGCTCTACTGTACAATCACTTATACATTATATAAATAAGATATATTAGTGAATGCATGCATTAAATGCATGTACAATATTAAGTGTTAAAACAATTAATAGCATATACAGTGCCTTGCGAAAGTCTTCATACCCCTTCATGTTTTGTTATGTTGCTGCTAGGGCTGTGCGATTAATCACATATGCTCTGGAACAGAGTAATATCGCGTCCACATCGCAGGCTTTGCGATTAGGAAATCGCAACTTCTCAAAACGCGATTTCGAATCGATTTCGATTAATCGCACAGCCCTAGTTCCGGTGCGTATTTTTTCCGCGCCCATGTTAACGGATCAGAGCATTCACAACACCCCGATCAAGTTCAAGCAGGTAAGTTTCAATTACATTTTTAATATTTAGAGCTTCTGTTATGAATATTATTCCATATTTTAATTAGAATTTCGGATTGAAATAAACATCGCCGTTAGCGAATACGTACTTAATCGTCAGCATAAGCGCGGCTAACGCTAATATAATGAGCATTAGAATGATTTTTGTTCATTTTGTTCAAAATGATTTCTTTAACTATTTAATGCTCCTATAACTTTAATTACTGTAAAAAACAGGTGGACATAATGGTATTCACTATTTTTACACACCAGAGGCTTTTAAATGAACTGTGTAACCAAAATATGCGTGTTAGAGAATGTACAAATGTATGGTTAACAGTGTTTATGTCTCATCAGTCCGTCAGAAAAAGTTGTTTTTTTTGTTTTTGTTTTTTTTAGTCAGTTAGTTGTAATACTTGGCTGAATATCTCTAGCAGGTTTTAAAAGCCCTTTAAAATTAAATATGAACACAGTTTGGATTAAATAAAAGTACAGTCAAATTGTATCTCCTGTATAGACTTTACTGTACAATGACTTAATGTTTTCTAACGTGAGTTGGATCTAGTAACATCTTACAGTGAGTGAACAATATATTTTTAAAACATTCATTAATGTTTGTGAATGTTATTTAATACAAACACTTGATCATTCATGTTTGTTCATTGTGAATTAAATAATTTTAACAGATTGAACTTTGAAATTAACCCTAAGAAGAATAATTGCCATATAACTATTGTTTATTGTTAGGTCATGTTATCTAACAAATAAAATCTTATTGTAAAGTGTTTTTAATACTACAGTTTCATCTATTTGATATACACTTAATATATGTAATCTTATCTAAATTTATTATAAAAGCTGAGGTTTGTTATTTACTGAAAAGTTATATTTTAGCTGGTGTCAATGATCTAATGTTGCATTTGGTCAGACTCAGCCCATTGCTTTACATAAGTATATTATATTTTCCTTTTATAGCTGCAGACTGAGGAAGATCCTGAAACACACCAGCAAACCCTAAAACAGACAACAGTTTACAGATGTTTTTCAGTGGCAGCAGAACTATGACTAAACTTTTGGGTGAAACTTGTTTACTTTTTTCATACTTTTATTACTTGTGATGTTACAGCTTTTTGATAAAGCTCTAATTGGTTTTCTTTTGGAAATATGTTTCAAATTCACACTGAATGCATTAATGACTGTAAAGCATGTCTGTGTGTGTCAAAATCGTGATTAAAAATCGCAAAATTGATCAAAGAAATCACAATAGTTTTTTTTTGTCCATATCGCACAGTCCTAGTTGCGGCCTTGTTAAATTGCTTTAAATTACTTTTTTCCCCACATCAATCTACACTCCATACACCATAATGACAAAGCAAAAAACAGGTTTTTAACATCTTTAGTTTTTAAAACTTAAATGATTCCATTGCGTAAGTATTAAAACCCTTATCTGGGACAGTTGAAATTTAGCTCAGAAGCATTCATATTGCTTGTAGATGTTACTACACTTCAAGTGAAGTTAACCTGTGGCAAATTCAATTGAATGGACATGATTTGGAAAGGCACACACATCTTAATAAAAGGTCTAACAGCTGAAAATGCTATTAGAGCAAAGACCAAGCCCTGAGGTCAAAAGAACTGCATGTAGAGCTCAGAAACAGGTTTGCGTCAAGCCACACATCTGGGGAAAATTTCAGAAAAAAATTCTGCTTCATCACTGCAACACTCCACCGATCTGGGCTTTATGTCGGTGTGGCCAGACTCAGTCCTCTCCTCAGTGAATTTGCAAAAAAGCACCTAAAGGACCATTAGACTGTGAAAAACAAGATTCTCTGGTTTGATGAACCTCAATTCCAAGCATCATGTTTGAAGGAAACCAGGCACTGCTCATCACCTGCAGAGTAGCATCCCAAATGCTGGTAGCAGCCTTGTGCTGTGGGGCTGTTTTTCAGCAGCAGGGGCTGAGGGACTCGTCAGAGCAGAAGACAAGCTCAATGCACCAAATGCCTGGGCTTAAACCCAATCTAATATTTCTGGAGAAACCTGAAAATGTGCGTCTGCCCCCATCCAAACTGACAGAGCTTGAGAGGTGAAGAGGCAGGGGGAAGAATGACAGATAATTGCCAAATGCTGATGTGCAAAGCTTGTCGCATCATACCCAAAAAGACTTCAGGCTGTTAAGGTGCTTCAGCTAAGTAATGGGTTAATACTTATGGGAATACTTATGCAATGTACTTATTTCAGTTTTTTATTTTTAATAAATTTACAAAGTTGTGACAGTTCTGTTTTTCCTTTTTCAATATGGTGTATGGAGTGTAGATGTGGGGAAAAAAAGTAATTTAAAGCAGTTTAACATAAGGCTGCAACATAAACCGTGAAATAAATGAAGGGGTATGAATACTTCCGCAAGGCACTGTATAAAGCATCTCGTCACAGCACAACAAGCAGGGCTTCATCTACAACCCCATCCACAATCAACAACACATAAAGGCACAAGATTTTAGTGTTTTTGGTTGCAGTGTGAGCCAGTCTTAACACGTATGGTATGTTATTCATGCTTTAACAGTGTAAATTCAGGCCTCTATCATTTAAGTCACAGTCTATGTTTAGGGCTGCAACAACTCAGACATTGGCAGAAGACAAGTTAAAGAAAAAAAAAAATCATGTGAATGACAAGCATGAGTTTGATGGAACAGGTCAGTTTCACTTGCTCATTTGCAGATTTCAGGCTTGCATTACTGTATTGCTTGATGTAATAATAAAGTAACATCATATCTACCGTGTTACTTTATGCATTTAATAGTGTTTTGCACCACCTGGAAGTGTGTGAGAGCAGTACACTAACTAACATATGCACTCCTCACAGTGTCTGTATCACTTGAGTCACTTGATCAGAAGTGCATCATACAAACTCAACCAGGCGCCAAAACAGCAGAGAGACGGAGCACAAGACTTCATCATTCCCACGGCCTCAGGAAAGAACTAACTACAAATAACATATCACCGGCAATACAAAAAACACCTAATTACACAAAAAAACAACGTTTATTGGGAATACTGATAAGCCGGTAATTATTTTCAACAAGACTCCACTGTTAAATACCTAACTTGATTGAAACTGAAGTTGCGTCATTTCGCAAAAACTCCCATATA